CCACACACCGCACCACTAGCATCCCCACACACCGCACCACTAGCATCCCCACACACCGCACCACTAGCATCCCCACACACCACACCACTCGCTCCCCACACACACACATCCCACCACTCGCTCAACCCCCTCATCCCCGCCCGCATCCCCACACACCACACCACTAGCATCCCCACCCACCGTATGTTAGCTAGCGGTGCGCGCGCGAGCGGCTGTGTCGCCCGGTAGCGGGACCGCACGCGCAGGCGAACGGCGGGCCCGTAATTGCGCGCTGATCGGCAGCCTTGTCGGCGAACCTGTAAGTAATGAGCAGCCGAACCGGCGGCCGCGTTCATGTCGACGCGGGCGACAGAAAAAAACTTGCGCGCTTCAATTAAAACTTGCTTTCGGGGGAACGATTCGCGCTCCGAGTCACACCAGCAGCAGCAGCAGCACCAGCACCAGCAGCAGCAGTAACAGCAACAGCAGTAGCAACAGCAGTAGCAACAGCAGTAGCAACAGCAGTAGCAACAGCAGCGACGGGAGCAGCAGCAGCAGCAGTACCACCACCTTTAGCAGCAGCAGCAGCAGCAGCAACAGCAACAGCAAAAGCGGTAGCAGCAGTAACAGCAGCAACAGCAGCAGCAACAAACAACAGTAGCAGTAGCAGTATAATCATCATCAATAATCACAACACTAACAACAGCAGCAGTAGCAGCAGCAATAGCATCAGCATTATCAGCAACAGCACCACCACCACCACCACCAGCAGCAGCAGTACCACCCCTACCAGCAGCAGCAGCAGCAGTAGCAGCCGCAATAGCATCAGCATTATCAGCAAGACCACCACCACCAGCAGCAGTAGTAGTAGCAGCAGCAGCAGCAGCAGTAGCAGCAGCAGCAGCACCAGCAGCACCAGCAGCAGCAGCAGCAGTAGCAGCAGCAGCAGCACCAGCAGCACCAGCAGCAGCACCAGCAGCACCAGCAGCAGCAGCAGCAGCCCGCCAGCCTCCCCCCGATGAGCGGCAGGGTGGAAGGCGGCGGCGGCCGTTTTTACTGTTAATTACTCCCATCATCCCGTTGCCAAGAAACACCAATAATCATGGCAATGGCAGCTTCTAATGCGCCCACCGCGATCAGTCTCCTTCCTGCTCATCACCGCAGCTTCCACGGGGGCTTCTCCAACGCCTGTCAATTGCTATTAGCGAGCGATGGAGAATGAAACGCAGTTCACTTGTTTTCCTCCCGCGGGCGCGGCGAAAAAAGCGGGCGGAGGAACCGCGGCCGCTGATTGGCTGGCGCGCGGTGATGTCACGAGTTGCATCACCAATCCCATTACCGGTTTAATTACTCCCGCGGCAGCGCGCAGGAAGCTGAGCGCTAATTGAGGATGTTTTATTCGTTAGGATTTAATTATATAATTATGCAAACAAGCTGGTAATTGGAGTGTGTGGTATAATGAGTAACATGTGAGATTTAAAGATGAGGC